AATGCGATATATTTTAAACAAAAATATATTGTCCCAAACTTTCATGTTCCACTGATTACATGAATACACATAAGATTTTTATTCAATATAACTTTATTAAGTTTATGTTTACATTCCCTCTCTGATAACGTGTATCAACTTGATTGATGGAAATGAATGAGACGTAAGATTATGAGAGACAACAGATGTTTGTTCATATATGTTGTCCAGTAAAAAAGAAAGGACCAAACCAGAGTGCATTTAACTTTAACCTGAAGTAGGTCATATCATATGCGTGTACTATGCACTTATAATTATACTTTTGACTTTTTAGTTCATATTACTGTTTTCAACATCGGTGTGAATTCCGTCGAAACTGTACTAAAAAAATTATGTCACGCCTGGAATGATATTCGTCTTATATTCAAATTTGATAAAGTCAAATTGACCTAAAAAATCAGACTTTATTTCTCTATTACGAACAAATATATGTGAAACTATCACATTATGAAACAAATGCATGTGAAACTATCACATTATGAAACAAATATATATGTAAAATAATACCTTAAATATTATCATTTGAACAATTTTAGATAGGTTCTTACGAATTTATAATTTTTTTGTGGTTCTCATTTAATTTGCAGCTTATATATATATACATATATATATATATATAATGTTTTTACATTTTTCCAATTACAACATGATTTTAAATTAAATAAAATTAAAGTTCGATTATCCATTTTAGAGAATTTTTTGGAGATACTTTTAATGGTCATCAACAAAATAAAGAGTTTTTAATGGCGTTTTGTCTGATGGAATTTGAGTAATTTGGATTTTATGGAAATATTTAGAATTGGAGGGATTTAGTTTTTGAAGGATTTTGGTCCGTTTGGAACTTTTGGTGTCTTTGATTTATGGGATTGGAATGGAATTAAATTATATCTATACTATATTATACAACATTTGACAAAAACTCTTAAAAACCATTTTTATGTATAAAATATTGTATATCGATGCATATTACTTAAAATTTAAGATTACAAGTAAATTATGCATCAAGTACAACTTATTAAAGCTTCATGTTTGAATTCGTATAACTAACTACAGATAAACATAATCAAATAGAGAATAAACATCTCATTTTAAAATATCAAAAATCTAAAATATAATTAGAATAATTATCAAGTTTCTAACCGAATGTTTAATTATTATCTTTAATAAAAATTATATTATTAAACCAAAAATAAATTATTTTGTTATTACACCTAAATTAAATTACAATAAAAAATTGAATTAAAGATTTTACATAAAAAACGAAAACTATTAAATAGTTAATTTAAAACTAATATCGATTTTTTTTTAAAAAATTTTATGTTATATTCAAATTTATATTTCATGCAAAAATAAAAACATTATCGCTTTCTCAAAACCATATAAAATTATATTATATCGAGAGAGAAAAATAATAAAAATTAAACATTAAAATGGAGATTTATCTCGCTGCATTGCGTGAGTACCTTTCTAGTTATTTATAAATAATTTATAAAAAATAAGTATATTGTCTTTTTATTAATTGATTATTACAAAACAAGTGTTTTTAACATATTTTAAAACATTATTCCATAAAAAATCCAGTAAAATACTAGTCATCCTGTTGGATTTCAAAATCATATGTGGGATGTTAATGAAATCCCAGAATTTCAAATCCAGATATTTTTTCAAACCAAACATGAGATTGAAATGAGATTCAATTCCAATCGCTACAAATCTAACTCAATCTTGCAAATCAAACGAAAACTTAATACGTTTTGGTCGTCTACAAATATACATGCAATAATTAACGTACATATCAATGTCAACGGTCTCGAGACAACATTCTAGTTTAGCATTCCGTCTCCAGTCAAATCCTGATCGATCCCCGGTCAAACCCCATGAAGAACATCCGTTAGTTTGAGTCTACCGGGGATCCCTGGCCCAGGACCCTGAGAATCCTCGTCCCCATCTGGGTCGATGAGTCGGGTTCCCTACCGGGTCGGGGCAAATCACCATCCTTAATTCCCTTGAAACCGTATCATAAAGTTTGTCAAAAATGCGTTCGTTAAACGTGTAACTATACTCATCTTATGTTCGAATTTGATAAAGTCAAAATGACCTCAAAAGATGGACTTTTACTTTTCTATCACGAACCAAGACCTGATTTCTACATATTTTTTATTTGAATCCTATTAACGTTATACATGGTTACTTTACTTTAGATTTCTAGTTAGGACATTCCAGTATTGTAGCAATTATGTTGGCATTCTGTAACGACGAACCCATGGAAACAAGTAATGTTAGAAAAAAATACTGATTATTCTCGAAATCACTATCCAACTTCTCAGTCTCATTTCTATTTTCATCTTTTAATCATTTTGATTTATTATTTAATTCAAAAATAAAAATGAAAATGAAAATGAATTTTTATTTTTCATAATTTAATTTGAAATTTAAATTTGAGTTTGTGAAGAAGACATTATCTATACTATAATTATATAATATTTAGGTTAAATTATTAGAAAGTAATTTTTATGTATTAAATATCATTTGTTAATATATATTATTTAAAATTCAGGATTACAAGTTGATTAAAAATAAGTAGTACAACTTGTGGAAATTCCAAGTTTGATTCGTGTAACCAATTAGAAATAAAACATTTATTTTTATTTTTTTAAATATCTAAAACTATTCATATAACTAACAGATAAACATAAGAAAATCTCAGATAAAACACCTTATTTTTGTTATTTTTTATTAAAATATATTATCTTTCTAATTTTTAATATAAAATATCTTAAATATAGTTATCATTTAAATAAAATGATTTTTGACCCCTAAACGAAATTTTTTATCATTGTTTTTATAAAAATTATAATTACACTTAAATAAAATATACTTTATTTTAAATCTAGCTTTTTCAAAACCATAATAAAATCGAGAAAGATTAACAAAAAAAAAGTATGAATCATGATTGAGAATTCAAGTTCTAGATTTCAGAACTCCGATGCATTACGCAAGTGCACTTCTAATATTATGGGGGTGTTTGTGATTGCTTATAAAAACAACTTATTGACTTATTCCGTTGTGACACCGGTAATAAGCACTTTTAAGTCTTTGGATAAACAACTTATACCGGTGCCAAACCGATAATAAGATAAATTTTTGAAGAAGTCAAATCTTTCTGACTTATAATAAGTTGATAAGTGTTTTTGTAGAATAGTATAAGTTGTTTCAAACAAGCAATCCCAAACACCCCCTATATAAAACAAACAACTTATTTTATTATCAATTTTATTAATTACTACTTAATACCTATAGTGTAAACACCCCATTAATTAAATGAAAGACGAAATCTGGTTAGTTTGAGGGTTTTTCATTTTTGAAGATCGTTAGAAGATCTTGGGGGATAAAACGTCAGTATATTTATTTGAGTCACGATACACTATAGCAAGATTTTTTATGGTTGAAGTTGAAATTGAAACAAAATGCTGCTATTGACGGTATAGTCTGCTAGACCTGGCCTCTCCAACCTGTCAAAAAGGGGGTTTGACTGATTAAAAAAAAAACTAGATAGGCATTGAGTGGACAGTTAAAATCAATGGAGATTGACCAAAATAATCGTTCATCTCATATAAATTGGTCTCCTAGTCATTACTCTCCATGATTTACCCAAATATCACTATATACGCAAGTCCCACGTCATGGATCCAGCCAAAAGACATAAACGAATTATCAGATTTCACCCAAGTCCACAATTGTGACGGCCAAATCGACAATTATGACGACCAGGTCTATAATTTGAACTTTTAGCTAGATTCGCAAGTGGTGGACGTAAGACTTGCGCATTTAGTGATATTTGAGTAAATCACAATTGCATGGTCAGTTCTTCATGTTTAATGAACAAACTTGGCGTTAAAAACAATGTTTAGAAAAATCACTCGACCTATCACTTTTACATAATTGGATTTTAATAAGCAATGATTATGCTTAAAGTTTGTTGACTTTTTTGGCATTTGTGTTTTTAAGAATTCAATACGAACCTATTTGAAGTTAATGATGTTTGTTGAACGTGTTTATTGATTAATGTTTTACAGATCAAATGTTTTTTTTTTGAGAACTGACTCGGGTTAAATTATCAGTAAATTCATAATATACTTCTAAAAATAAATTTTGTTGAGAACAGGGGACCAAAGACGTCATGAACCGAGTTTTGATCCTTAGAGGTTCGACATTAAGGTTATGTTTGACAAACTAACTGATAAGTTAGCTGGTAAACTAATAAGGTAGCTGATGAACAAATCATTTTTGACAAAAAAGAAATAGTTGATGAATATGTAAAATGACCAAATGATATCTTGAAAAATTTCGTCAATTACAATGTTTTATAATATGATTAAAACAAATATTTAATGATATAATATATTAATACAAATATGATAGTAAAGAAAAATTAAAACATTATAATGTGTTAATTAAAAGAATTTTAAGTTATTTATTAATATATGTTATAAATTTTGGATTTGTAAAAACAAATATTAGGAAGAAAAAAAAAATCTATATTAATTTATGATTTAAACAATCATCATGAATAAAAATAAAATTGATCAATCTTACATATTTTAATTAATTTGTAATTTTTCAAACAATATAATAATAATTAAATTAACATTTAACACAATATTATTATATATGAAACAGAGCAAGTATAAGTTTAATTTTTATATAAATTATATAAACATTAATAAAATTGTTATATTTATTTTTTATAACTAAATATATTAAATAATAATATAAAAATAATTGATATACATATATACACACACATGTTTTCAACCTATACAGTTTTACTATTACAAAATCCGTGTATTAAATCATGACGTACCACGGGCTTAGCGGGTCGTGAGACACGAACTCTGATTTTCTTTTGTCGATGTGTCCATTTTCGATCACTCATGAGACTATATGCTAATAACACAACGTATAAGAAATTTAATGGTCATGGGCACTAACACAATGTAAAACATTTATACGATTGATGGATATCCAAAAACAATTCTATTGTCGATCGAGTGTTAAGTCTATGCCCCCGGCCATTCTCGACTTCTAGACCGGAAAAATTAAAAAAGAATTAAATAAAACCCTCCGTCACTCTTTTGTTTACACCTCCCCCCTACCCCGTCACACAATCGATTACCGACTTCCGTGAACCCTTCTCGTTAAACATCGGCACACCTTGTTGGTGCGAACCCGAGCCTAGACTTCTTCGTGTCGTACATGATATGGAAATTCTGTTGCTGATAATTTCCGATTATTGATAAAGCCGACCGTGGGGTCCCCAAAACGGCCAAACACACAATCTCTTCCGGTTCGAGCTTAATGAAATAGTTCTCGACTGGGAAGTTCCACACCGCACCATCGTTGAACAAGATACTGAATGATGGCAAATCTTTTTCGTAATCTGCGACTCCTGACACGTTGTAACACGGCTCGAGAATCGGGAAATCGTGGACTATTGGGTAGCCTTTCACTTTATCCATGAAAGATTTCTTGATGACATTGTAAGCAGGATCGGCAAAGTAACTCAGAGTCGTACCTGAATCGATGATGGTTCCACCGAAACCATCGGGCGATAAATCCCATGTTTGTTCGGGGATATCGAGTGTTTCTCCGCCAACCATCACGGATTTTATGTGCACGTAATAGAACACATCGACTGGCGCTTCTTTACCGCCGATCAACGAAGTGAAATTCAATTCAGGGTGCTTTAAAAGATCTTTATCTTCTCCAAAGATCAACTTGCTGCTGACACTAGAATTGCTGTCTCGATCCACAAGACAGTACGAAAACGATTGCCCGTATAACGATTGGAGTTGGGATGCGAACGATAGCGGACCACGGCCGAGCCCGAGTAATCCGGCGGCACCATGAAACAGGCCACGGTTCCAATGGCCGCAGCCGAACATAACGTTCTCAACCTGAACCTCCTGGTGTTGCTGTTTGTGGCCGTCGACATTGGTGGTCAAATTCACCGTGAAAGTCTCGGTGGCGAAATCTCCGGTGGTGTTGGAACTGTCGCCGTACCAGTAAAAATACGGGCACGATTGAGATTTAGCTTCAGCTCTGCAAGGTTTTGGAGGGTCCGGCGACGAAACCAGATGGCACCGGGGATCATGGCAGGTAACATTCCGGTAAGACGACGATTGGGTCGGATCGTAATGGGGTCCGGTTTGTTCAAAGCAATCGTAGCAGGGTGTACATTGGATCCAATTTAAATCGCTACCAGTATCGAGAATTAGAGAATAGTGTTTAGGAGGCGTACCCAGAAAAACATCCATGAAATACTCACCGGACCCGAGAGTTACGCCGGATTTAAGAGTACCCATCAATTTTCCGGCGTAAGTTTCCGCCGCCGCCGGTGCTGCTGCTTCTTCTGCAGCCTTGAGACGGTGGTCGTCGTTTTTCTTTGGTTTTAGAATCGTGTTTCGAGTCTTCTTCTCCAGGATCCTTTTGTGAAGCGTTTGGATCCTAGATACGTCACTTGCGGCCGAATCGAACAATGATTCTTTGGCGGCCATGGGAGTTTGACCGGACGATCGGTGTTTTAAGTGGAGTTTTACCGATTGTTTCGCCCCATCAAATCCAACCCCACCGGAGGTCTCCGGCGAGGAGAAATCGCAATCTGAAGAAGAAGACGAGACTCCATTAAAGCTTGAATGATTAGGTATTTCGATTCCGGCGAGAATCGAAGACGCATTGGGATTCAAGCTCCGAGCAGGATGAGCTCCAAAAGCACAACTAAGAAAGAAGAAGAAGAAGAACAAAAGGAACAAAAAGCACTTGACCACCATTGATTCCGGTAGCTTTGAAGTGGATGAAGAAAAACAAAAACAGAAGAAACCCTTTTATGGGTAGTGAATTTGATCCACGTTTGTTTGATTCATTCGTTGTATGGACGGAACTTGGCGATTCAAATTTGTGGAAATTGGGAATGAAGAAAGCAGACTGAATATCAAGAAGAGATTGGTGGGAACATCGCTTTGACCTCTCGAAAAGAGTTGAAAAGGCCAAAAGGAGGGTGAGGGAGACCCACAAGCAGAGAATTCAATCTTTAACTCTAATATTATATTTATATTACCTCCATGTTTACCTTATAATAACATTTCATTTCATTAAAATTTATTTATTTGTTCAATAGAATATTATATGCATTTCTTTTGTATCAAAATCAGGTAAATCGTACATTAAAAATGTAAAAAGTAAATCTTGATATTCATGTATGTGAGGAGAAAATTATATTAAATAGAAAAGGTGTATTTAGGGCATCTTCAATACAAGATTCTTATAAACAAAAAGTGTAAATTCTTATAAGAACTAACATTGCAGAGAGTTCTTCCAGGAACGTCACTCCCTTTGACAAGAGTGTTAGTTTTTACCTTGAAGTTAGTGTGAATTTACATTATGCTAGTTTTTTTTTTATATAATTTCTAGACTTTTAGGGGGCGTTTGGTTCGCATAATTAAATTTGGTGGAATTTTGAATATAACAAGTGAATTTGAATTTAAAGGAATTAGAATGAAATCTGACCATGCATTTGGTTCGTAGGTATTGAAATGAAATCTTTAAAAATAATTGGAATCTCCATCTTTGCTTGGGGGAGGGTGAGTGGGTGGGGGTGGCAGTTGTGAAGACGACAGTAGTGGTATTGGCTGTGATACGCCTCACCCCACTCCCACCCCGATCCTTTTGCCACCCATGTGGGTGAGTGGTAGGGTTGCCTCGGTCCTCCAACCCCGGCCCCGATCCCTACTACCACCCATCCACCCTCACCCACCATAGGCCCTCTGGTGGTGAGGGTGGGGTGGTAACTGTAAACAATAGTGGCATAGGGGTGGGAGGGTGGTTAGGTGGGCCTCGCCTCGATCCCCTAACCCATTCCCTTACCTGCCTTCAGTTCGTAGACCCATCCCTCCCCCTCCACACATACATGAATGAGTGGTAGTGGAGGTGGGTCGATGGGTGGGTAGGTGATAACTATGACAACGATAATGGTGATGTGGTGGATGGGTGGGTGATTGAGGTCGGATGATAGTTTTAATGACGATAATAGTGGCATGGTGGTAGGTTGAGACTTGTGGTGAAGTGGTATATGTAATGATGACAATAGTAGTCATGTGGCAGGGTAGGTTGGGTGTTGGTGGGTGACGGGTTGAGGTGATAGTTGTGACAATGCCAGGGGCAAGCCAGGAGCATGGTGGTAGGTTGAGACTTGTGGTGGATGAGGGTGGGTGGCAGTAGTGATGGAGACATAATGGTATGGTGGTGATTGGAGGTAGGGGTGTGGCATGGCAGTAGTAACATGGTCATGGTAGGGGTGAGGGTGAGCGATGTTGGTTAAATTGGATTCAAAGGGACATAATTCATTTATTTCTCTTATGCCAATGAATGATAAATTCATTAATATGTGGAATTTAAAGGATTCCTACATTTTCAGTGTGTGAACCAAATAGGAATTAGAATTTGATCAAAGAAATTGATCATTTTAATTTTCTTGAATTCCGCAAACCAAACAGCCCCTTATATCTTACCCAATAATTATTGTACAATATTTCTAGCATCATTCATAAATTTATCCTACCAATGGGTAGTTTTAGGTAATTAAACAAAAAAGGTAAATTATTTTGAACATTATTAGTATATGAGACAATATATTTTCGATTATTGGAACCGGTATGTTTCATACTTTGTGGTGCTTGATTATGGGTAATAAAACGTGAGTAATGTAAGACAGTAATTAACAACAAAAAAACAAACGAGTCACAAGACCATAAAACGACTAACAAAACCCAACCCACTATCTACAAGGATAGAAAGAAGGGCAGTCGCGAGCCCAAAACCAATAACCCCCACCATCACCACCACCACCAACCCCCCAATGTAGAACGCCTTACATAACAAGAAAATTAGCAAAAAAAAATGACCAAATTCAAGTAACAAGAAGCAGTTAGGTTGCAACACTATGAAGCCCAAGAACCAATAAATGCTTTAGCACAAGGAGACAACCAACAAAATGAAGCAGAGTCGGATATCAAACAACAAGTTTCCAACCTTCCCCATGCTGCTTAATGGAGTTTATTTCAAGAACTCCAAACCAAGAACAGGGAGTTCCAAACAACAGTTGTCCATATACTGCGCTCAAAAGATGAAGCAATATGGAACTCGGTCAAAGCCAAAACATTTGAAACTGAGGTTAAAACCAAGGGGTGAAACCCAGCACTTCAATAACCTGACCCGCAACACCGAAACTAGAGTGCATCAAATGTTTCAACGACACAATCGCATCAAGGGCAAAGTATCAAGTGAAGGTTAAACCCCATATGATCAAGTCGAGCACAAACGAGGATTCTCTCAAGCTTTAAACGCAATGGTGATAAGGGTTTCGGAAGGAACAGACTTGATCCATAATTAAGTGTAGAATGGGAAGATGACTATTACTTTTGAAAGTGGACACTTGTTATGGGGACAAACAAAAAGAAAAACGTGAACACTTATTTCGAGACTGATGAAATATTTAATTGTGGAATGATAAATCAGTAAACAAAAAGCACATACGTTAATGGTCTCTGAAAACAGGTCACATTTGGCAAACATACACTAAGGAGCCATTTACCAAATGATTATCCGAGTAACCATTTACCAAGTCGCATTACCTTATCGGATGAATATGGTAAAAGCCATAAATCTTACCCGATATGAACAAAACAAGGACCAAGCAAGAGTCTTACCCGGTAAGTGAGGACGACGACTCTTACCACGATAAACGTTTATCGGGTAAATTGATGCATATGATACCGTTTTAATAGACTACAATCTTACCCGATAAATAGAATGATAGTGTTAAATTTTACTTGTAAGCATTTACCAAAGATAAGTATTTAGTAAACGTAACTTATAAGTTAACTTATTGAAACACTAATTCAACACTAAATGAATTAGTGTTTCAATAATCTACACTTAATTTTTTGTTATTTTCTTCCGATTATATCCCTGATTAATAATTAATATTATTTTTAAATTAATAATTAATTGAATGGAAATTCCAGTGACTGTTTGTTTAACAGAACAGTAAAATAATAAATGTTTGACAGGGTCAAAGGGGTATTAATGTCATTTTGAGATTAAAATAGTCAGTGAGTTTGACCGAGACTTTTTTTGTATGACCAACACCAAGAGTCGCTCACGCGGTTCCGTGGCCCAGCTTCTTTATTTTGACTCGCTCATTGTCTAATAATGCGCACGCAAATATTAAATCTGTACCTAATTTTGGTGACTCATTTTTTATTATTTTTATTATTTTATTTTTATTTTTAAATATATAATATTTATTACATCACCTATTTTTTTATATTTTATTTTAAAGTTGAGTTTTCTAAAATAAATTATTTATCTCAAAAAAAATATATATATATATATATATATATTTAATTTTAATCATAAGAGTGGTGTCTAATTGATGTGAGCTTGAACTTCAAAGGTCAAAGGTGTCTAGAAGTCTCAGGTTCAAATCTAAGAAGTAACAAAAATCTCCTTGTGGCCACGAAGATTTAAATGCAGTGACTTTTGGCTACTAGCAAATCAGGTGGTTACTCTGTGATTAGTCGGCTCGAATAGCGGGTTGAATATGTTTGTTATGGGAGTGTTCAATGGTTTAACTGGTTTCGTTTGAAGTTTTTGAAACAGATGTAGAAACTTAATTGAATACAAGTCGTAACTTATGAAATCGAACCTTGAATTTTTCTTCACATTGACGAGACTAAAATTCGAATTTGGTTGGTTGGTTGGTGGTACGGTTGACCATTATTAAGATTATGATTTAAAACAATATCATTATGTTAACTATATACTAGTTGTGTATCTACGCAATGCGGCGGGAGCCGTAAATTTTAACGATTTTGAAGTTTCACTGGTTCTATTTTAGAGAAGTTTTAACGATGATATAACTTACACTTGGTCTTTACATATTTAAACAATTTGAATAGATAAGAGTTATGGTTCCAATTACAGTCTATCGATGAAAAAATTTGTATGACAGTTTAAAATCCAATATATTTAAACGACTCCATAAATGTGTTCGATTTACACAAAGAGCAAAGAATCAAGAGATCGAGAGCGAGACTGAGAGCTCTAGAAGAATTGAATGGGAGATGAATGTGAGAACTTTTAATAATTCATGGTAAATATCAGTTTGAATCTCACCTTGGAGGATGAGGAGAAGACATAGAGGTATGAGAGAGTGAAAACATGAGTGAAATGTGACAAAAGTATATTGAGAACATAAAAAAAAAGGAAATAATGTGCATTGGTAACTTGCACTATATGTTATTTTAATTGTAGATTAAGAGATTTTAAGTCTGAATGTATAAAGTAGTAGTATTTAATGCATTATGAGTTATTTTTAAGACTTTTAAGACTTTGTGCATAAATGTATAGTATTTTGTGAATCAAAAATTATTTTTAAGACTTTTGATAAATATGGTTTATAAGCTAATATAGATATGTATAGGTTCGAGTTTGGAGGAAAATGTAACGCCCCCAGAACCCCGTAGATATTGTCCGCTTTGACTAACCTGCCCGCTCAACCACAAAGCAGTAGTCGCACGGTTTTGTTTCTGGCAGCCGCACAACGCAAGCCCCAAAACCGGTCACACTAGGCTGAGGTATCCACACCCTTATAAGGAGTGCTTAGTTCTCCTCACCAACCGATGTGGGACGGGTTGTTACACCCTCCCCCCGTTAGGACACAACGTCCTCGTTGGGCCACATCGATCCGGGTCTGGCTCTGATACTACTTGTAACGCCCCCAGAACCCCGTAGCATGATATTGTCCGCTTTGACTAACCTGCCCGCTCAACCACAAAGCAGTAGTCGCACGGTTTTGTTTCTGGCAGCCGCACAACGCAAGCCCCAAAACCGGTCACACTAGGCTGAGGTATCCACACCCTTATAAGGAGTGCTTAGTTCTCCTCACCAACCGATGTGGGACGG